TAACCGCAACATGGCTGACAGTATATAATTCTGTTTGTCTATGCTTAGACCTACTGTTAATCTTTAGTTCAGATAGCCCAATGAAAAAAGACATCTGGGTTCAAATTCAATCCAAATCGGAATCATCCTAGCGACTTCGATTTGAAGGCGAGAGCTAAAATCACTCAGCTGCCCAGGAATACATTATCTATTCCATGCTGGAAACGATGTTACGAACAGATTTGTAAACCTTTATTTTTAGCTATAATTTAGTTCAAATTCAGAAATAGCTTTTCTCCAAAAAGCTCTTTGTAGTTACATAAAATATCCTGTGGCGTTGTTACTAGAATTTATATCATTTAGTTGCAAACATTTTCAATGTATGAAGAATTGTATAAACTGTTATTTTAATACACATTTGTGCATATTTACTTTAAAACATAAACTTGAATTTGTTATTGAATTTTTTTTTAGCTTTGTAAGTCCTATTTATATGAGATGGCCGATCACCTGCTTAAATTAAAAGTGATGTCACTACTTTAACAAAATATTGCTCTACACTTAACCAAACCTGGACAAACAATTAGTTTACTTCTGCTTTACATTACCTCTGAACATTTTGCGTAGGGCCTGTTCTAAATATGACCTTGCTAATCTGATATGCTGAAAGGAGAACCATCACATAAAAACAAAAACATTTTGAAAATTGAGCTATTTATAAAAACAAATTAATTGATCAAGGGGTTGTTGTTCATCCATTAGGGCCTCATGACTATTCCGCCTTGTCAAAGATAAATGATGGCGAGATCATTGTCTGGCCAGTGTTAAGATTATTCTGAAGTTATTTCATTCTTACACAACTTTGAAAATCTTTTCTGAACCAAACTTAATATTAGAATACTCGTTTCTGTTCGTATTGTGTGTACAGTAACAAAAAGTATATAGTTCGCCCAACCGACTTTAATCAATAAGGCTCTATTGATTCTTTTTAGTGTTATAGGCCTATTGGATGACCAAGCATAATTTTCTGAAAAGTACAAACATCCTTTGGCTTAGATATAAATATCAAATATATATATTTTTTGGTAGTATCAAAACATTTATAAAGCATATTTATACTGCTTCACGTTATTGAATTACCTACACTATCACTGAAATAAGGTAAGCACCTTTCATATGATTGAGGAACATTTTAAGAGATATATTAAAGACCTTATTTGGTAATTAGTATGGTAAATTTTGTATTCTAATCTTCTATTTTAATTATAAAAACATAAGAAGTTGTATTATGAACATATCTTTTACGACTTGAATTGATATATAAGTATTGAATTATATTGCTCGATATGTCAAAGCCGGTGTAATATCAGATCTACAGAGAAACATAGACACAAAGCACGAAGTTGTACAACAGAGAATGCTCGAGTGATCTCCGAGCCATCCTTCATGTAATATTGACATCACTCATTGCCTCTCTCTTTCTCTGAAAACAACTATCTTGGGGGGGAAAATTGACATTGTTACAGTCTATAATTTATTTAAACTTAAATGTAAGTAATGCACACGTTTCTTCCGTCTGGGCTTAAAAATGTGTACCAAATAATTAATATTCTGTAAACAATATAATTTGTTGTTTGAGATGTTAAAAATTAATTATTTTTAATCAACTACGTATAAAATATAATAATTACTACGTAAAATTATCTCATGTTAACCTCCACCAATCAAACGAAAAATATTGTACATTGAATAATAAGTGAATACAAGGACAAAATCTAAATATATTTTACTACTGAGAGTGCATTCTCGTATATAGCATTGCAACTTACACATTAAACACATCGAAGTAGATGATACAACTTACGAGTTGTATTATTTACTTATATAATTAATCTACGTCATATTGCTTTTGTGAAAAAAATGTGAAAAAAGTATTTAGGAGAATTTATATTATTTAACATATTAAAAGTGTATTTTCATATTTTTTCCATATACATTCTTTAAATTAATAATTAAAGTAATTTACCTGTATGTAAACACTAAAATAAAAGTGTCGTGGAATAAACGCAAACATTGACAGCTGAAATTGTTAATTCAATATTTATATCAAACATCCTTTAAATTACTTTTGCCAATGTATCAGAGGCAGCAAATCGAATTGAGTCAAACACTCGTTGTCAGGACAAAACAAGGGAAGAGTCACGAATCACAATTTTGGAGTGGGAATGTTAGACCAATCGTGACTTTAACATCGACTGACGTGACGTCATACATATTCAACGTTTGTAACAATGCACGCTTCGTTATTAAATATTTACATTATTATAAATTATAATACATTTTGAATTGTCCTTGTAGCACCCATAAAACTATTGCATATTATAATAGCCGTATTTCTTTGTAAATATGCATTAGTGTTGAGCTTTAAATACCAACCATTGTGTGTCCTCATTATGTAAAAATGGTTTTAAAAAATCAATCCACATCAACAAACAGATAATGATTTATTTATTTTATTGTTATAATTTATTACTTTTTTATTGTAGCATTAGGTTTACAGAATCATTGTAAGTATATTTTGTATTAAAAAGTATGTTTCTTTTCTGTATACATTGTGTGGAAATAAACATATATTTCATTCATTTCATTCGATCATTATAGAAACACACTTTCTGAGATGCATGCATATGAGATACATATAGTGCTCGGAATAAGGTATACTGTATATATTTTGATTCTGTACTTTGTAAATAGAATAAAGTTTTACTGTTAAACGCATTTATTTTAAGTAATTTAAATAGTATTTCCTAATATCCAATGTCAGTTATCCATGTATATATAAATAAAATATATATAATAAGAAATTCGGGTTGTTTTCCATATTAACGAGTATCACAATGTAATCTTACATAAATTATGGAAAGTATAGTTGCCGCTTGTAGGTGGTCACTAAGTTGAAGTTACCATCACCTACTTGTACAGAGTTAAAATTAAAGTTAATTCAGTGCAAAATAAATTTTAAACAGGAAAATATAGACCTACATTAAAAATAATATCTATAAGCACTATTGAGGTCTTCACAACTAGACAATTGTAATTAAATCTTAAAAATTCATATAGAAAATATTGGCAAAAACATAAACCTAACCACAAGAAATCAATAACGTTCCCAAATATGTGGAAACGCCAAATATTTCTAACATGTTCTTTTACAAACTACACATTTTGACCAAATGGCGAATAAATGGGTCTGTTTATGAAAGTGTTCGTTTTGCATGAAAAGTTGGGCCTGTTATCAAACAGTTATGTCCGAGACCCGTAGTAAAGTTTGTTACTCGCCCAGTGTAACATGAGTTAAGCAAGTGTCCACAATGGAACCACACAATGCACGGATATTATTTCACTCCCCTCTCCGGCTACAGCGTTCTCCGTCCCTTGAGGAATAAAATACTGTTTGAAAAGCCAAATGGCCCGTTACTTATTTTTATGAATCGATGAGCATACTGAATACGTTGTGACTTTGCTTTGAAACAATTGTAATCTGCCTCTTCATACTAAAAACTTGAAGTTTTGTGTTGTGTTTGGGAGTTAATACCGCTGTGTTGACAATCATAACGGTATCGGAGACTACTAAAATAATTTTAAATAATAAACAAATCTAAGGATATTGACATAACATGCAGTTCCACATTATCTATTCCATACGGACATTCTTTTTTATATAGCGACAACGAAACAACCAACATAGTTAACACATATTCTTAACTCAAAACAGACAACTTATTCAATAACATTTAACTGTATAGTTAAAAATCAACCAAACAAAAAATAATGTAAATTTTACTCATATTCATATTTGTGACTATTATGTCTGTAAATTATTATATTATAAAGGAAAGAATCTTAAAAATGATATAACTGTATTAAAAGTAAGACAAAAGAAAAGTATCAGAACCCTACTATAGCATATACCATGATAAAATATCTTCTTTATAAAATATGTCCCTAGCTACGATTTCTAGTTTTTTTGAAAATCAATTTGAATTTTGATTGACTAAATAGTAGGCTACATTTTGTTATTGGTTCACTATTTTTGGTTATTAAGTAGGTAACAAACCTTGTATTGGTTATTAATAATATTGTTATTACTAATTTGTTATAATCACTTTTATTATAAATTTTGTAAAATTAAAATGACTACTAATGGCATTATAGTACATACATAACTAGTTCGTAGGCCTTAAACAGAATCCTTAAAAGCTTTATCGAAAATTTAAATCAACAATACATTAAATCAAATCATAGAAACTTCTTGAATTACGTTTAGTATTATATATTTAATTACATTTTAAAATGCTGTATTACATACAAAATAATAGTATTATTTAAAAAATGTCTCTTATAATTTTTCTCCCTGATTTTCTCTATTTGTTAATAACATTTTGTACACTGCTTTTATTTAATTTTTTTATTCCTTACTATTTGATATGATTCTAAAATTAAAATGTTGAATCATAAAAAAGGTATGCAAAGAAATCTATCCCCATATTTATTAAATGTTATGAAATAATTGTATCCGATGTTTCCATGTATTTTTATATTATAATTTAGTAAATATTTTAATTTTTCTTAACATACCACTATGGCTCTAAAATTAGGATTTGAATTCATGAAATATACATTTTTCCCCCTGTATGTTTTTATTATGTAATATTACCTGTCCACGTTTTCAAATTTTCTTATGAATGTGTTTATTTACTTCCTTACCAATCGCTATTGTTCTGAGTGTTATACTTCAACCCAAAAATATTTTTATGCATATCATGTTTATCTCTATGTATGTATATAAATATAAATATCTATATATCATTTAAATACAAAAATCTAAAAACACTCACAGTAATTTAAATACTTTACATTGTCAGATAAACCAAAAGGCACCTCATTTAATTTTTTTAAATAATACAATTTTTTTTTAATATTAATAAAAAAATAAAATATTAATTTTTTATTTATATTACCTTTTTTCCATCCCTAAACTTGAGTGTGCCCTCGATGATTGTGTTGGTATCCATGACACAGGGTTGTACCGACACGATCGGAGGCGCCTCACCAACTGACGGATCACTCGCGCACCCGCACCCCCGCTCACACACCCGCACACACACACACCCGCACCCGCCGTCACGCGCGCAACGGGTGACATTAATATTCATAACTTCTGAAACCGGTGGCACACCCGTAAACTAATTGTTTCTGAAACTGCGGCAAAATAAATATCCACCCTCAGCCAGGCTGCGAATTCCCTACGGAAATAAATAAATTCGAAACACGACGACGTAACTCAATTTCGTTAAGATGTATTGTCGGGTGAAAAGTTTGTGGTAAAATTCTGTTGTGGTAGATATACTATAACACTAATAAAATGCAAGTGCCTCATGAACCTAGACTATTGTTCAGTTTAACTGATCAATTTTCCATAAAAGCCATTTTTGCTAAAATTATACACTCACCATTTTCGCAGCTTCTTTGTTCGTTTTAACCCCCCGTTTCACAAACGCGAACGTTTGTCTATACGTCATTGTCAATTGCTTACATTTTTGCAAGGGAACGGTCCAAACTGTGACCTTTTAATCATCCATCGTTGATCTTTAGTTGCATAGCGTGAATATTTAATATAAAAAAAAACACTGACGATACACAAAAATATATTTTTTTTTAAATCTAGATTTTATTGCTTTCAATTACTTGTTTCCAAATTACAATTATTCCTTCACTCTACTGATATTTATCCTTTAATAATATATACTATTTAAAAAATATATCAGCGTTAAATTAGATTCCTAAAATCATAAATACCTCAATATATATCCAGAAGCTATCAATAATATTTTAAAATACTTAGTTTGAATTAAAACGGCGAATCATTAACACTTACTCAACTTCAGTACATCTTTTATATTAAAAGGGAATTTTCCACTGCTAATTGAATTAGTGAAGACCGTGTATTTGCCGCATGGGAGGGATTTAATTGCCAAACGGGGGAGAGATTAATGATGTAATTAGTGTAATTGTTGTTCCCAAATCAACGATTACAAGTTTGAAGTACCACAAAGGGACGGCCACATCAGCTGTTTATCCCTGGGTAGGAGAACTATTTACAGATCCCTTGCTAATCTATTCATTATCAATCACTAAATATATAATTTTACTTTCATTTCTCATAATTTAGTTTTTCATGAAAATGTAATAATAATTAGAATTTAAAACTCTTTTTATTCATTTTTTTCTTAAATTTAGATTTGAACTTTATTGTGACAAAGTTTTTTTTGCTACTTTATTAAAAAATCACAAGACTCTTTTTTAGGTTAACAGTTTTTTTAATAAATGTTTTTTTTTAAATAAGTTCTTTTATATATGATTAAAAATGTAAATAAAGACAATTTATTTGCTAGCGTTTTCTGAAAGACAGAAAACTACTATCAACAAAAGCTAATACTAACGGCTAATACTACAACAAACATTGTCTAAAGATGTATCGTTGGTGGTACTTATGCATACTAATTTACTGTATAAAAAATACATTAACAACAAAAATAATTACAATATGTGTAAGTGTCTCTCTCTAGCTTATCGCAATGTGGTTTTTCTGGAAGCATTTAAATGTTATTTTGTAATTTTCTACTGGTTTTGAATTTATGTACTGTTAGACTACTGTTAACTGTATGTTTAAACCGACAATTTACTGTATGTTTCACTGTTCTACAAGTTTGTCTTATGTTCTTAAATTGTTCAAAATTGGTTTTAAATAAGGAAAAATCACATACTTAACCTTCACTGCGGTAATTTACTACAATTGACAATTCAACTCTAAAACTGAGACATTGTTTGTTTTGAACTCAGTGACATCAGATCATTTTGTAATATCATTTTTAGCGAATTTCCCTATAGGGAAGTAGCTATTACCGAAGGTCTCATGGTAAGACCTAAGCCCAGGACCGATTTACTTTTTCATTTTGATGTCCCCAGAGGCCAAAAACACCATTCGTTCAAATTTTTATATATATATATATATATATATATATATATATATGTATATATATCTTACTAATATTATAAATCTAAAAGTTTGTGAGTTTGTGTGTATGTTTGTGTGTATGTTTGTGTGTATGTTTGTGTGTGTGTTTGTTGCTCAATCACGCATAAACTACTGGACGGATTGGGCTGAAATTTGGCATGATGATAGCTCACATTCCCGATTAACATTAAAGCATATTCTTATCTCAAAACCCCTTTCGGGCTCCGCCCCAGTGGCTCTGTAGTTCCCCATGTTAATCTTATGATTTTTCATATTTAAAAGGAATTAATGAATCTTAACAGCTGTTTCAATTAAACAAGTTGGTTCTGTTCTATGATGTTCAACAGCATAAAAGTTACAAGGATTACCAACAGGGTGCAGCACTATTAATTTTTTTTTTTATTTATGACAACAGCTAATTTCCAACCAAAAGGTGAGTGAGTTTAGCGAACGAACTTCAACCTGGAGGCGAGTTAGCGTAGCGAACGAGCTAACCTGAAGGCAAGTGAGCGCAGCGAACGAGCTCCAACCTAAAGGTGAGTGAGCGTAGCGAACGAACTTCAACCAGGACGTGAATGAGCCATGCGAATACTTATGAAGTTAAACGGGGCGAAGCCCGCGGGTACAGCTAGTATATGTATATATATATATATATATATGCAAAACTTTAGATATGATAGTCATATGATAATCATATATATATATATATATGTGTGTCCATCCGCAAGATAACTTAAGTAATTTTTGCGCGAACTAGCATGATCGGACTATGGGGGTTTGTGAGGGGTTTTATGGGGTAAAAATAGGTTTTTCCCATTTTTGACCCAAAAAACACAAAATTTCACAATTTCTTTTTAAACCATTTTGTAGAGCTTAAAAAAACAAATAATTTAGTATATTGAAGCGTCTTATGCGCCTAATTGTTACGGAGAAAATTAAAAAAAAATTGTAATTTTTAAATTCCCATGTTATTCTTATAGAGAATAAGTCAACTGTTGTAGTTTGCTTGTTTATGAACATATTTTGATCAAATTTGGAAAATACATTAATTTCTTACTAAACCACAGTACCTTTTAATATTTTACATTAAAAAAACTTGTTTACTCTCCCTGTTGCAGCAAACCTAAGTACTCATTAAATTAATTCTGTTTAAATAGGGAATAAATGTGATATTTTTAAGGAGACATTTTAGTTAAAATCCAATCAGGCAGATGGAAATTCGCTAAGTCGGCAGGTTTGCTGCGGCGGGGGTATTTATTATGTATATATATGTTTACATCTGCAAAGTATAAGACTGAAAGCGGATTTAGAGATAAAAATCATACACTGTAGGCTTACTCAATGAAAAACGTTAAATATGTAAAATTGTATAAATTGGCAAAATCAAATTTATAATATATGTCTTTTACAGTACTCTATAGCTCTTTGAAATATATGCTTCTAGCCAGACAGACCTAAGATTTTTTCTAGTTTTTTTATACTATATTGTAATATTTATTTGAAATAATACAAAAATCATTAGTTTCGTACAAACAACAAAAATGTAGTACGTTTGTAGATAGACTCAGATTGTACAATTATTGTTCTTTTAAATTATTTAACACCTTAAAGTGCTGTTTCCCAGTTCCTTATCTTGAGCATTGTTAAAGCAATCATATTTTGAAAATAATGGTGAAGGAATTACGGGTTTTCAGAATGAAAATGAGTACCTTGAGTTGTGTGAATGTTTTCTTTGATGAAACTAAAACCAATTATTCCCACAATCATTTTACTTTTTTTGAGATAATTTACACTTAATTAATTGTTGTAAATAATTGCATCAGTACAAATGCAGTCATACATAAGATAATCAAATGTAAAATGTGCAATCGTGTAAATATTTTTTAGAAAATTTCTCTTTAGTGAAAAAAGTATAAAACTTGTTAAGGAAAGTTTTTCATTTACATAAGGAAAGCATAACAGTGTATAATTCATCCATATAAACCAAAACAACTTAAATGATTCGTTAAAAAAATTAATGAATTAATCGTTCTAAGAAGGAAAAATATAGTACATTAGTGTTTATAAACCTATCATTTTGTGGTAAAACCATAATCTCTTGTAATATGCACCTAAATAAAATACTTAAATCGATTAATTACTTAAACTAAAAGCCAGACACTCAATTAATTAAGGTATTTAAAACGCTTTGACTTCAAATTGATACATGGAGCTAACACAGCGTGAGGTAAAAACAACAATGACAACTCCACAACAGAGTTAAGGGTGACGTCATCAAGCCATCTACCGTGACTGGATGTATAGGCTTTCATGTTCGTATCAAATGGATGACGCTATAGTGCCTTGCTGTTTGTATGGTGAGTACACTATACAGCGCTGGCTAACTCAGACGAAGTTATAAAATCATCCGACTGTAACTTAAAAGCTTTCTAGTTAAAAGCTTAGTTAATATTTTGTATGCGTATGTTTACAAACAGTACTCAACTGTTACAATGAGTGACAGAAGAAAAACTAGTTCAGTAAAAGCCAAGAAAATAATGAGTTGATGTTTAAGACTGTACAAGTCTTAAAATACTGCAATTGTTTGTTTTAGCGAATTTCCCTATATTCGTTCAAATTTTTATATAACTTGAGTAATTTTTGTCTGATTTTGATGAAATTTGGTTTAAAGGTGTAAGCGAGATAAACATGAATGAGTTCACGAACCAGCACGATCGGACCATGGGAACGGGGCTTTACGGAGGGTTTTATGGGGTAAAAAAGTGGTTTTTTCTCATTTTTTATCCTCAAAACACTAAATTTTCCGACTTCTCTCTAGACCTTCTTAAATACTTATTCTTGGACCTTAAATAATTTAGTTTATATCATAGTGTTTTTGCATGGTTATTAGTAACGAAGAAAATTGAAAACAATTTTAATTTAAAAATCTTATATTATTCTTATGGATAATATTGTCCTGTAAAATGTTGCAGTTTGCTCGTTTATGGATATATTTTGATCAAACCCTGCAAATTTATTTATTTTATACTAAGCTATTAATACTTTACAAAAAATACACTTTATTAGTTTCCTTGTAGCAGCAAACCTAGGAACTCGTTGAACCTAATGTTATGATTAAATAGATTTAATTGAAAATCA